TTTTTCCTAGATAAAATTTTACCCAGATAGGACCATTTCCCAGCAATAAGGGGTGTTCTTTTGCCCCCCCCCCCCCCAATCCCCCGAAACCCTCCTGGCTATGGGCCTGTACAAAGTGGTGCCATATTTTTTGCCTCGAGTTCTATTGTGAAACTGTCACAGTAGATGCAAGTCCACCTGGCAGGTGCTTGCTCATCATCATCTAGGAATGAGCTAAGAGATTGTTTCCCATAGGTCTAATAATACCAGGTGTGTGCTCAGGAAATCTGCTTGTTTAATGGGTTTATTTTTGACGTATGCCAAATAAATATGCAACTTGCGTGTGAATCTTTCCTGGGAACATAGTATAGAGAATATAACTGGTTTTGGCCAGCTGAGAAGAGACTTTTCCCTTTTTTTCCTACATTTATTTTTTAAAACATTATGAACACTGTTTGTTTTGAATAGTTTTAAATGACCTATGTTGTGCTTGCCATACACAAGTTTTCTTTTTTTGGTGAAAAAATAGTACCCCCCCAGTCAGCCTTTATTTTATAACACAACCCTTCCATTTTCTAAATGAAAAGAAAAAATTACTAAAGACACTTAAAAAACAAGTCACCTAGATATGTTCGACTAAGCTGGTCAATCACATTTTTGTCTGTACTGGTCAAAATGATCAGGAAATGCTTTGACCCTTAATGGACCCAGACAACAGGTTGTGATTAAACTTCTGTGTTTTATGTCTAGACAAAATTTCAATATTCCCCTACTAGTAACCATTTCCGTGTGGTCACAGCAAGGATAGAGAACATGGACACTGGGCCAAATGAAGGTTTGATTTTCAAGTACCCTCCATGAGGATCACAGAGACTGATTTTTTACAGATATTTCTCTGGCTAGTGAATAATTTCTACGGGAAAATAAGGGGGGGGGAGGACCTTATCATCCTGAGAGTATCTTTGATATCCTAACAGGTCCACTTCAGGCTCCTTTCCTGTGAAGTTGGGCCGACCTTACTTTGTGATGTGCAATGAGCAGAGGGTTGTCTGATTATAAAGCTTACCACCCCCCTTGCCCCCCTCCCATCCCTTGTGACTACATTGACAGCTAGGTAAATCTGCAGTTGATCACATGATGCTAAACTGCAATCAGGCTCTCCTATGTATTTTTTCTTCATTTATTTACATCTCTTTGATATAAAAAAAAAAAAAAAAAAAAAAAAACTCAGATAGTGGCCACAGGCACAAGTGCTTCCTACTTGAAATCCACTCAAGCCAGCCTGGCAGAGTTTTAGTATGACTTCTTTCTTCTTACCGTCTGTAACACAATAAGATTGCCAAATGAACATTTCTTTCAAGATGTGACTACTGCGTTGCCAATTTTTTCATGGTCAGTCAATGTTCATTCCTTGTTCACTTGGGGAAAGGAGGAAATGTACGGAAACACAGCATGTAGAGAGACGTGCAACATGCCAGCACTTGAAATGTTCCCAATCTCATCCCAACACAAAGTGTATGTTTTGGCAGTACAGACACTTGTTATCAAAAGAATTCTCAAGTGGATGCTCAGACACTGGTTTATGAGGAATGCCTCTGTGAACTTTGCTTGGTACAAACACATTGCCTTCTCACTGAATTTTACATTAAATAAGGCATGCATTATAGACCTAAGAGAAAACAATAAAAACCCTTGGATAAATCACCAGAGCTTTTATTCCTCACTTATTACCTTTTCATCATTTTTTACCCAATCTCCTCCAAACTGTATAAAGCCCAACCTCCCCCCCCCCTCCCTAAAACACCATGGATGATATTCTGATTATCCAAATACCTAAGATACACATTATACATGGTCATTGTTCATTTGGTTTGAATGTAACTGAACAATAAGATTCACCAAAACACTATTTTGTTGACATTCTCCTTAAAAATGAATTTAATGAGTGTTAATTATCAAAGCTTGCAGGTTATGTCTTCATTCAAAAGTTTAATACTATTAAATTATCTTGCAAAAAAAAAAAGTATCTAAAATTTTTGAGCAACTACCGTACTGCCCCTAAGAATGATATCACCAGTCCTTTACCATTGTGGAGTAATAAAAGCACCATTGTAACCAGCCTTGACAGTATCCATCATAACACTGTGTGTCTGCACAGCATTCCTTAGTCATCCCATCTGTCTTCTATGTCCCACAGTGCGTCCATGCAAGAAATATTTCTGTAATGACTCTGGGTGCATTCATTCCAAATTCAAGTACATTCTTAACTTCTTCTCAATGCAGCTGTGTTCCCTTTTGATAATTTGAAACTAGTCTATCACAGATTCAATAATTTTGGGCTAATATATTTTTGTTTTGCATCATTTGACTTGTTTACAATCAAGAATAAAACCTGAGTACCCTTATAGTGCTTTTAAAAGACTATTACTGAGCACAAGAGTGCGTCTTGTAATACCAAGATGTGAACTGCCTTTTGGGACCTTGTCAACAAACATGAGATACGTGTACCAGTACAGGTAGTGATGGGGCAGGTACTATAGAAGAAACACATTTAAGAGATGTAATATAGAACTATTACTAACACATTAGCCGACTATATGGATACAGCGGTGTGACCCACTTTTTTGGGGTACTAAACACCATCAAAGTTGTAATATCACATGATCTTGAGTTTATCTATATAGGTAACACACTATCAGTCACCTCATGAAGCCATTGTATTTCATCTCCTCAATAAACAGATAACATATCTAGAAAGAGGTGTTCAATAGTGTCAGGTACATAACATAATAGATTTATTGACTAGTTTCTTTTTCTCTGAATAAGAAGAAAAAAAAAGAACTTTTTATCAGTTGTAAAAAGAACTGTCAACCACACACACACCTGTTAACATACTGGGTGATGAAACATCCAGAAATCTTCACAAAATTTATATATGGTACAATATAACTTACCCTTCCTGTGGCTTTCTTGTACCTCAAGATGGCCTTCTCGATGAGTTCCCCAACAGTCAGTTCTCCTGTCCCACACGGGACCACAACGCGGGTATTTCCAAAACACACTGTGACTTTCATGACTTGGCGTGTATGTTCCCAGCAAAACTGCTACCCTGAGTGTAATATCCACATGTATAGAGTTGGTTTCTCATCCAGTTAAGCTTTAAGTTTATTGAAGCATGTTATGTTTAATATTAATCCACTTCTGTAAAGCTTGGTAATTTTTCCCAAAATAAATAAATTAAAAAAATCTCTGTTTTTCATTTCATCTTCACTGCAATAAGCATGGTGAGACACACAAGGGTTCAATGGCTGGTGCGAAATCCCCACACTGCAAGGCTCCAGTGCCTGTTTCTCCTTTACACTATAAAAACAAAGTATGGGAAGCTCTCAGGTTACAAAGTACTGATATTATCTCAAGAAATACCGGATGTCAAAAGCTGTTCTAGGTGGCTTATTACTTCCGACTTAGGTCGCAGGCACCTGGTTCAAGTTTCCCCCTAGTTTCAACGTATTATCATCAAAATAATGCCGAAAATAAAAACAATGAAACCGCAAGATGAAAACGATTCAAGGAAGAGGGATTAATTGTACGCAATTAAATTCACTTTTTTTCTAACGATTTTGACACTTAAAACGGTAAACTCTACATGAAGTTTGTTTCAACGTCGAAGTACGCCCTCCTTTCAAAATGACCCAGCGAAATTCACATTCTTCACAATTAACACTTATTTATCTAACACATCTTTACACTCATTTAACCTGCCGATCACTTATCAGACATTCCACAAGTAGCATGTCAGTGAGCTACATGGTAATGAATCACGTCTCCTCTGTTGTAAATCGCACATTTCAAAACGTGACCTACTTTCAAAAAGTTAATGCTTTCCTCTCCGAAGCTTGTTTTTACACCTTTAAAGTGAAATCCATTAACTGTTTTAAACTTGAATTTAGTTGCTGGGTGCCTCGTTGCGTGCGAATCACACAGTAGCAAATTTAAGAGCCAATGTTTTCTTTCTACGAGCGCTGCCCTCTCTCGTTTCCTCCATCTTGGTTTACGAGAGCCTCGTTTGCATATTAACCGTTGATGAATATTCATAAAGGGAGCAGCCATTTTAGCAGGTGCGCTGAGTGGAACTTCGATTCATTTTATTTCGATATTTAGTTATCAATTAATTCTACTCCTTTTTGTGAGAAAAGTCCGTGAATGTTTTCATTTTTGAGAATTTTTAAAAATTCAATCTAATAATTTTTTCTCTCCAAAAAGTGACAATGATGGCCTGACAGTGTCATGGGAAAAATAAAGATAGACAGTTGAAAAAGATAAAATAATAATGATAAATACATTGATTAATCAATCTTTCAAAGAATATACTGTAACAATAAAAAAAAAAAAACTCATGGGCACATGTAGTACAGTAGAAAGTGAATGATAGCAATTTATAAGGTCATAATTATTTTATGAGTGAATCATGTACATTTTTAGCTTGCAAAAACTAAAAAAAAAAAAAAAAAGAAAAAGATAAAATGTTATTACAAAAAGGAAATCTGCCAGGTTTTCACTGACCTAATCTTTAAGAATTATTTCTACTTTTCTAATCACTGTGTTTTGGTTTACATACACTTATTGCCAGATCAGGCAACTGGACAGCCTGCGTCAGATGTGCAAGTAAATGTGACAAGAGGCACAACTACCGCAATGCACTCTGAACGGCACTTCTCCAACCTGCACGGTATTTTCAAAATAGTATAAAACTAAATGTGAAATGAGGATAATAACAATTTATTATTATCATTTTTAATGAGTGTATAATTCTCAGTTTTTACAATCAAAAAGCAACTGAAATGTACATTTAAGGAAAATAATGGTAGTCTATATCTATATAAAATAAAGTAATTTGATGCTTTCATTAGTTAATTATCATTTATATTATTTTTAAATTGGTTATTCTTAAATAATATTTTGGCATAATAACTTGCCAATATGATTTAAAAAAATAAATCAAAATCATAAGGTCTAGCATCTATTCAACAGTGAAAAATCAATCTCTTTCCAAATAAGGTATAATAACAGCTTTCAGTGGAGGTATAAGATAATTGTTCCACTATATGAGTATATTTCGACAACACTGCTTATATTCAAAACCAAAGTGTAATGGAACAAAGGTCTTTTCAATTTGAAAAGGGGGTGGGGTCACCTCTACCTCCATTTAACACAACCTTGTTAGTCTGGTAGATATATAAATTTTGACTGAATGATTAACCTAACCTGATAACCTTCAAAGATTAATGTCAACTCCTAGTCTTATGCTAATGTTGGTCTTGTTCTTCAAGGTGTTTTTCAACTTTGTTCAACAGCTTAAAGTAAAACAAATAAGACATCAGTACAGGTACTGGTATGTCGTATTTTCCCCCGATTTCTCTCATCTATCATTAATTAAAAGCAATCTCAAGTTTCAAGGCATCTCCATCTGTTACTTCTGGTATATAAATGGCATATAAAATGTCTGCTACTGTGTATTAATTTACATTCACGGCAGTAGCTTCCTCCTTCTCAGTGCCTCCATAGCTTCTTCAGCCACCTCTACCTTTGACTTGCTGGCATCTATGATAATTGGGGCTGGGTCTCGCATTCTGACATAAGCTTCAAGCAATCTGAAATGATTAAACATAGATATCAATTGCTTCATTCAGAAAATTCTAGACTTAAATACATTGTAAATGTATACCTGTCATGTCTGTTTTAAGATATGCTTGCTTCTTAAGCAATATTTTTATTTATCTACCAACACAGAGAAAGGTGCAAATTAAAAAATCTGTTTGCAAGCATTTTGGTGAAAAACAAAATTTAAATTGTTTTCAGCTTTACAAATCAAAAAAATCTCCAAAAATAACAGCTGAATTTTTTACAAACCTTTCCCTGAATTCACTCTTTTTGCTCCTCATAAGTTGTTCTTCATGTGTCAACTTCGTCATGTTCCTTTCCGTCAAGCGTTCGTCTCTTATGTCCTCATTTACGGTGAGAAACAAAATGGCAGAAGGCTTGATGAGGTCTTCTGGCCAAGCGTAGACCCAGTGTTCATTAGGGGGCAGCACTGACTTGTCTCCACACCCAGACTCATGTGCTATGGCGTAGGCAGCTGTGCTCTGCCAGAATCTGAAATGGGATGTGCTGACTGAGTAATTGATGTTGAAAATTGCTTATAATTCTAGAGACATACGGTATATATCACCTATGTCTGATTTGTTTTTAAAATGTGTAAACAATGCAGTTGTTTTATGCACATGAATTGAATTTTATTTGAGGCATTGAATTCTAAGACACTGAGGAGCTGTTTTTCCTTTTATACAGAAAACAGTATTTCATAAATTAAATCAAAATTGTTTAAATCTGAGACTTACAGCATAAATGTTTAGTCTCTAATGTGCTCTCACCTGTCCATGACCACAGCTCGTGTTTGGCACTCTTCAGCAATCTGCTTGGCAACGATGTAGTTTCCGAGGCTGTAGTATGCCCGCCGCAGGATCTCAGGATGAGCATCAAACTTTTCACGCAGATGTCTAACACAGTCTGGTGGTGTGCGCATGACAACTGAATTCAGTGTTTGACCCAGTTTTTCGACTAGAGTGCTCTTTCCTGAGAGGGAAAAATAAAATTACAAATTTCATCAAAAGGCATTTGGAGATATATGACTCACTTTGTGTAAAAATAAATACAGTTTCTTTAATTCTTTATGAAATGTTACTCTAAGCGTTTGTGTTTGTGTGTGTGAGAAATTTAGAGAGAGAGAAAGAGAGAAAGGGGAGGGGGGGGGAAGGGGTAAATTTCACCTGTTGCATCCAGACCCTCTAATACAATAAATGGGTGTTTCATCTGCTGTTGGTAGTCTTGGATGGAGAAATCTTTCTCTATATGCTCAGCGGCTATCCTCAGGGACTCCTGGACCTCTGGCAAATGCTTACACTGCAATTATAGTTAATGCAAACACAATGTAGCTACATTGCTGGTCAATAACCCTAATGTTAAAATATTCAAAAGTGAGCAATTTTAAAACAGCAGTTCTTTTTCTGAAAAACTGAACCTTTTACCAAGAAACTTTTTTGTACCTAGATCGGTTTTTACCCAGAGTTTACCTTTTTCCGGCAAAGGACGGTTCATTTGAACCAACCCCCAACACCCCCCCCCCCATCCACCAGCTACAGGTCTGGAACTGTACTATGTTTTTTTCCCCTTTTACATTTGACTGTGCATTTAATTAATCCCATAGCGCCTGACAGCATCTGACCTAGAAAGTGCCCTTGGTCCTGAGCCCTCTACACGGACGCACTCAATTTTACAGGCGGCCTCATTTAAGCAATGATAATGTATACACTTGTCTAGAAAACACCTAAGAACTGTACATTTTTAGAAAGCCAACAATGTAAGCTTTAAAGTCATAACAGTTTTATTCATATTTGTTAACTTAGGTAGAAATAGCAGGAGTTTAAATATGAGACTTGCTTTTCTCGAAGAGAAGTAAAAAACAAAACTTTAATTTCAGCATACACATTCTTTTTCACTTTACCAAACAATTTGTTGAAATTTACTCAGAAACATTCGAAATATATTTTAAATAATGTCAGAAAATTTCAGAAAGATATCTTATTTAGTTTTTGAGTTATAATGAATTTCCTGGGATGCGTGCTGTACCTAAAAACCTTCATCACGTCAGCTAGTTGCACAATATACTGGCGGGCTAGCTGACTGGAAGACTTCCACCTAATTACGTTTATAATTNCCCCAAGTTTCCCTTTTTCGCGGAAAGGACGTTTCTTTTGAATCAAACCCCCCCCCCCCCCCCCATACACCAGCTACAGGTCTGGAACTGTACTATGTTTTTTTCCCCTTTTACATTTGACTGTGCATTTAATTAATTCTCGCTGCACCTCCTAATATTTTTGTTTAATGCTCAATAACTTGTCTAAAAATATATCTATTTTAAATACCTCATTTAATATCCGGACAGACCTCTCGTAGCTGTGAAACACACCAATGGTCTCCCTGTCTAGAAATGCTGGGTGGATGTGTGGGCGTGGCACTGGGACCACCACTGAGGAGGTCTCTTCATTATCAACACCAGTGTCTGGGTGATGAACTATCTGATCACCTTCATTGACAAATCTGAAATAAAATTAAATAATAATAATAAAAATATTAATAATACACAAATAAATATAAATAATAAATACCTTTTTCTACCCATGTATAACTGATAAAAGAATTTATAATGCTTTTGACACATCGACCTATAGGGCATATATCTGTAAACAAACATATTTATAACGCAAATGATTCACACAATTTATATATATAGTATACATAAAAGGGTGTACTACCGGTACCTGTTAAAAGAAAGGCAATCAAATTCCGCTATGCCCTCTTTAACGGCGTCTTTTACTGAATCCTCAGGAAAACCCTTCTCATTGACCAGGATGGCAAAACCTCTGCAAAATCGATCATCACCTTCGACATTCTTGTCAAGGGTCAGTGTAGGGATCACAGTGCAACGTTTGTCCATTAAAAACGAGGAGTTATTTTCCATCGTCTTCAAGCGATCTCGCATGCTGTAATGCCTGATCATATTATGAACCACTGAAGATTTGATCGAGTGTAATCCATTTGTTGTATTTTTCCCATCAGTGCTGACGGCGAAAGATGACATTCCTAAAACTTCCTTGCAGTTTTGAAGCTCCTGCGGATAGTGAAATTTCTGGCGCTTGGAGCCTATCTCGCTAGCATTCTGTACGGTGAAATAAAATGGCCCGCCTTTGAGTTCAAAGCAGAATATATTGTTGGACTCTTCAGGGCTGTCTTTGGTATTGTTATCCGAACCAGCCTGCGTTCCCGCCATTTTGTGTTGCAGCTGGAAAATGCAAGAAATGCGCAATTTAGGAAAGTCCTTCAACCAATGAGTAGACCTCAGAATACGCAGTATCATAGATTTGATTATTTCCTTTATGCTGTTGCAATATTGGTGTTCTCTTTCTCTTCAGATTCCAGAAAACTTATCACCCGGGAAATTTCAGATAGGGAATTCCTCGAAAGGGTATGACGTCATCCGATGCATTGTGGGCCAGGGAGAATCCCCCGTTATATGTCTATATTTAGTTCAAGGCAGTGACACTTTTTTTCCGTGGAATCCCCAATGACAACAAGGGTATTGAAAACTGTGTGAGATGATTATTCATTTTTCGTTATTTGCTTATCTTTTTATTTATTTATTTATTTATTTATTTATTTATTTATTTATTTATTTATTGTTTAGATCTTCCTAGGCTATTTCTGACACTTCGGACGAGTCAAATCGCAAGACCTTCCACGATTGTCATCTACATTTTTGGATGTTTTCACTGTTAAAATTCCGTAATATCATTTGTTTTTCTATACTAGTACTCTTCAGACAACCTAAAATTAATTTTGTCCCACAATTTCCGCCAATGCTTGATCAGCAAATTTCACACCACACTACCATCGCTGCTAATGCTTTTTTTTTTACCCTCCCCTCCCCTCTCCTTAGCAAAATCTTTCATCGCTAGTGAAGATCTATGCCTTAAGTGGCACTTCACAATTTTCTTCATTTAGAATAAAATATACAAAGATAAAATGCACTATAATGACATCTAATCATATTTATCGCTTACTTCTAAGTTTATAAAAGCTCAACATTAACAGAACGTGCCAGAAAAAAATTGGCGGGGAGGGTTGGTAAATGAAGACCAAAGTAACGTTGCATGGACGCAGAATGAAAGAGACAAATTTAATCGCCTTCAAAATGTTTTGTTTACACCTAATGGCGGTACCTGGGGGTAACAACATAGTGGGCCACGTACCTCCCATATCTTTGGAGGCACCCTTTTTTCCATCTTCCACCACAAAAACAGTATAAAACAAACGAAACCAGGCTAAACCGAATAATTTCATCCCCATGTCCTCCATACTATACCAAGCATTATACTATTTTATATTACATATCCTTGTGCCCACTTTGTGTCCATATGATCTCCAAGACTCATTTTTTTCTAACCTCAGAATGTGAAACATTTATAATGTCATGGGCCCTAGTATACAGATCAGCAACATGAGTGTGTGTGTTGAATATTCATTCAAATTTTCATATCAAATTGAACGATGAATTTTCTGATATTTTCCATGGCCTTGGTTGTTTGAAGCAAGGTGAGATAAAACTTCACATCGACGACAACATACAACCCATAGCACAGCGTTATAGACGCATTCCGTTCCACGTCAGGAAACACATAGAGGAACAGATTAAAAAGGATGAGGAACAGGGTGTCATAGAGAAAGCTACAGGTCCTACGCCCTGGGTGTCTCCCATTGTAGTTGTTCCCAAACCGAATTCGAAATCACCTGGGAAAGTACGTGTCTGTGTAGATATGCCCGCAGCAAACAAGGCGATTAGAAGAGAAAGACATGCAACACCGACGCTTGATGAATTAAAAACAATGTTGACTGGCGCCTGCTATTTTTAATCAGGGGTACAATCAACTTGAATTACACGAAGATTCTCGTTATATCACTACATTTGCCACTCATCTTGGTCTCTACAGATACCGTCGATTATTTTTTGGAGTGAATTCAGCAAGTGAAATATTCCAGGAAAGCATTAGACAAGCTTTGTCTGGTTTGAAAGGAGTCGTGAACATCAGTGATGACATTTTGTGTTACGGGACATCGCAATCTGACCACGACAACAACCTACGTGCTCTTTTTCAACGTTTGCGCGAAAGAAATCTAACACTCAACGCAGAGAAATGTGAATTCAATCAAACATCATTAGAATTTTTAGGGCACGTTTTTGGCGCGGAGGGTATTAAACCAAGCCACAGCAAAATTGAAAACATATTAAATCTCCCCAATCCAACCAACGCTACAGAAGTCAGAAGTTTCTTAGGAATGACGAATTTCTGTGGGTCGCAATTCATTCCAAATTACGCGTCATTAACACATGATTTACGTGAGCTGACAAAGAAAAACACACCATGGTCTTGGACATCTAAACACGATGATGCTGTGAAGGAACTCAAGTCAAAGTTAAGCCAAGCAACGACTTTAGCGTACTTCAACCCGTCGAAAACCTCGGGGGGAAAACACAGATGCGAGTCCGGTAGGCATATCTGCTGTATTAACACAGGACGGCCGCGTCATACAGTACGCCAGCAGAGCGCTTACTCCTACAGAACAGCGATACTCACAGACCGAGCGAGAGGCTTTAGCAATCACATGGGCCTGTGGACATTTTCACATTTATTTATTCGGAGCCCATTTTATTGTGCACACTGACCACAAACCCCTTGTGAGCCTCTTTAACAACCCCAAGGCCCAGCTTTCGGCGCGTATAGAGCGTTGGATCATGAAAACACAATCCTACCAGATGACGGTTGTGTATCGTCCAGGGCATGACAACCCTGCTGATTATTTGAGCCGACACCCCACACATCAGACTGATCAGTTACCATCAAGTACCGAGGAAACAATAGCAGAGGAGTATCTTCATTATAATAATCTTTATTGAGCACTAAAATGCATACATATTACATTTTACAGGCTCTCTACACTAGTCATAACAACTTAGCGGTCCTACGAAAATACGCAAACCGCGAAAACCGCGAAAACCAGAAGTTGCTAGGCGAAAACCTCACTATAACTTACCAATTCTCGATGTTCTTGACAAGTTGCTGTAATATTTGGATAACTTGGACCATATTACATACATCATGACCTTTGATAACGATCTTGTAATGAACTAAATATGTAACAGCTGAGTTTTCTAGATCGGCAACTATGATAGTGCGTGGGAGCCATGTTTGGTTTACAATTGGCATATATAAACAGCAGTGTCCCCTCAGGCCAGTATTGCCATCTCAGGCCAGTATTGCCCTCTCATGCCAGTAATGCTCTCTCAGGCATATGAATGTGGATAACAGCACAATATTTTCTGCTTACTTAATACATATATACATAAAAAACTAACAAACATTTATCAAGTAACATTTACAACATTGTACCAACTTTAAGTTAATTAATGCTTTATTTGTAAATGTGTTATTTGTGCATGAGAAAAATCCCTTCTAACTGTACATGAAGTTGTAAGAACTTTGTATTTGCATTAAACTTTACAAAAGAAATATTGAATCATTAAATGTTTTTCATCATAAAAAAGTTGTTTTTGTTTGTTCAAATCATGTTAAAATAAAGGCTCTCTGCATACCAAATTCCATTTTACCAAAACAGTTATCAATACATATTTGGTCAATTTGTGCACTGGCAATTTATTTTTTAAGAAAAGGGACTAAAGTCTTATTCTGAGACAACTACAGTGTATTGTTAATACTGACCCGTAGACTTGCGTGCGNCTAACCTAGGTCTAGGTTAAAGGTCATTGGCGTGAGGCGGAGACTGTGTATGTATGCGACGTGACATGCGAAGAATGGACCTATTAATTCTGTAAATAAACATTTTAAATCTTATACATTTACGTTGTTGCAATACTATATCTGGCGACGAGGAAGGAACAGACTCACAAGGAAGTCAAACCAAGTAAGAACATGTACCTTTCAAAAACAGACATTGGCTATAACGAAATTAAATGAGTGCAGTACACGCAAAGAGGAGTGGATATAAATAAATTTTATAGAGAGCTTCAAGATATTGGTAAACTGTGTAGTTTTTATATATGACTTTGGAATCAGAGGTGAAATCACAACTGATTATGGGATGTAAATCTCAGAAAGTCCGACAGAAAGGCTTACGTAACCCGTCCATGATATTTTCGCAATTTTGCAGTATGCGCACACTGAGCAACTTGTCACTTCACATACACGCTGAATGGATGGTTCACAGGGTGCAAGTCAGGAATTCGACAAGTAGTCATGCAGTTTATTTTTAACAACAATGCCGTAATTGTGGAGGAGAATGGCCACATGAGGGTGGACGGTCGAAATGACCGGCCTTCATAAAGGAGTGTTTCTCTTGTAAATGGCTTCATCATTTCGCATCGATGTGTAGATAGGGTCAGCAACTAACATCATCAGCTACACCTAACACGCGCTACGCCGTGAAAACCGAAACGTGTACCTCATCGCCGTCAAAACAATGTGAATTGTCTACATGGAAATTCCGATGTGACTGAAAATGAGAACGAATGCATAGGTTATGATGAAGATGGATACGTCTTCACAGTGCATGCAGTCACCGAGAACATGGACCAACTCCCACGTTTTAAAATAGGGATGAACGGTAGGAAAATATTTTTATAGCAGATTCAGGGTCTACTGTTAATTTGATTTCTGAATTTGAGTACAATAAATTGCATCCAAGACTAACGTTACACATTTTTATTACTTAAATCAAGGCCTACGGCAGTGAAAGCAATTCAGTTCGTGTGTTGGGAAAATTTACATGGGCCTGTGGACATTTTCACATTTATTTATTTGGAGCTCATTTTGCACACTGTGCACACTAACCACAAACCCCTCGTAAGCCTCTTTAACAACCCTATTTAGGTCCAGCTTTCGGCGGGTATCGAGCGTTGGATCATGAAAACACAATCCTACCAGATGACGGTTGTGTATCGTCCAGGGCATGACAACCCTGCTGATTACTTGAGCCGACACCCCACGCATCAGACTGATCAGTTATCATCAAGTACAGAGGAAACAATAGCAGAAGAGTATCTTCATTATCTAGCCTGTACTTCGAAACCAAAAGTAATGACTCTTGAAATGGTGAAAGAGGAAACCGAAAGGATATGACACTTGCAGCGGTGAAAAATGCTATGGTCACAAATGACTGGACTCCACAAGGGAATTTCAGTATTTTCCTAAACATTTATCAGTGTCGTTCGAGCTTTCTATCTCAAACCCTGATGGAATAATTCTGAAAGGACGACAAATAGTTTTGCCGAAAAGTTTATACAGCCATGCCGTGAGTATTGCACATAGCGGGCATCAAGGGATTGTGAAAACTGTTGCTTTACTACGTGAGAAGGTGTGGTTTCCTAGAATGCATAATCTTGTCGAAGACACAGTGAA